CCAACTTTCACTATAAGCTTATCATTCTCCAGGATCGATGGGCCCAAAGAAGCAAACTTTTCCATATCCAGTTTTTCGGAATTAAAGGCCTGCAAAGCCGCTTCTGCTCCCATTCCTTCACTTAATAAGTGCTTGCACAGAGAGAGCTCCACTGAGAGTGGAGATAGCAAAGTTAGACTATATCATTATAAGTCATAACAATCATATCTACAAAGTGAAAACTAAGATAGTTGATAAGTTAAATTTCCTTACCTACTTCAGGATTAGCAATAACATGTTTGAACGCCTTTAAGTTTGGACTACCATCAGCAACTTTTTCTGCATCCAAACCCCCAGAGCTCGACTCATTTTCTCTCAAATCTAACTTTGATGTTTTGAAACATGGGTCAAATGACTGGCTCAAAGGCTGAGAAGGACAAGCGTCCATATCATTGTTGCTGTCAAGTCGCATAATCGGTAATGATCCTACCAAACGCTCCATCTCATCTGTGGAGATATCCTTCTTTCTCTCTATGCTAATCGGCTCTGACAAGCCCTTTGAGATCTCCCCGCCATTTTCAGGACTAATTTCATTTTCATCATGACTCTCTCTCCCATTAACTTTCATAGTATCAGGCAAACTTGACTCTCCTGAACTACTCCCACCAAGTTTACATTCATCAAAATCGCTAAAGGAAAACTGTTCTTCCTCTCTCTCTGGGTGTAGGATGTTTTCTCCACTGCTTGACTGAGACTCTTTCAAATTTTCTACCGAAAATTGCATATCTTCCTCGGTGATTTTATTTTCAGCTTGAACGGGGGAGCCAGTGCTGCTTCCTTCCTGAGAACTGCTAATGCTCTGCAAATCCGCTTGGTCAACTGAACTCAGTGTTACAATTTCCACAGATTCAGGAGCACCTAACAGTTCTTGCTTAGAATCAAGATCGCACCCAGTAACAGAATCCTAGTGGAAATACAATTATACAATACATGAGTCAAATGCATTGAATAAGCTTGTTGATTTACTTGCCAAACTATTAGCCTAGCATTGCTAAGAAAATCAGATAGACTGAATGTAGTAACTAACCTGTGCTAGCGGCTCGGTTCTTGGTTCGACAAAGATGTCTACGTTTCCACTCCCCTCACTAGTAATGGAGAACACCATACTTGATGATTCACATAAACCATTTTCAACAACAACTGCACTTGATGCAGTCTCTTCGCAATAATCTTCGACATTAGTACTTTCACGAAAATCCTGCTCTTTCTCATCAAGAAATCGCAATGTAGGAGATGCAACAAGAGGAGTCTCCAATATCGAATCACTATCAACTAACATTTCCGAGCTACCCTCATTTCTTTCATCCACAACACAAGATTTGCCACTAGTACTAGTCTCACCATTGTCTTTCTCATCCAAAGACTCAGAAGATCTACCTTTCACAGACTTACGCGTATCGATATTAGTAGACCACTTAACCTCCAACAAATCAGCAGCAATCTCAGCTCTCTCCATGGAAGTAACACCACTATCTTGACTCTCCCTAACAGATCTCCCACCAAACACAAACCCCAAAATCCCAGGCTTCCCAACAATCTTCCCATTACCACTACGAGGACTAGCAGAATCATAGTTACAACTCCTAGACTTCAACGGAATCTTAAGCTTATCAACAACATCATCCCTACTCTTTGAAGTCTCAGCTTCATCACCAGAAGACAAAGTATAAACCTCACCACTCTCAGATTCCCCAACAACATCTTCAACTTCCCTAAGAAAATAAGCTTGCCCTGTATGAGCCAAATACATATTGAAACCCGAATCAACACCATTAACATCGATCTTAATCAAATTCCTCCTATTCTTCAAAACCCCTTGAAATTTCCCAAACCGGACATACCAAGGAGACGATTTAAACGACCCATCAGGTTGCTCAACGACGATAATGTCGATCGCACCACCAAAAGGATGAAACGGACCTGAAACCGTACCTACGCCGCGGTAGATGTAGCTTCCGATCCTACCAACGGCATCCATTTTTCGAACAAACCCAGATCGAAAAGTCAACGAAATCAACGATCTTGGACACAAATTTGGAAACTTTACGATACGGATCGATCAACCATGTTGTAAAAATCGAAACTTTGATCAGCCCAGGAACAGAGAGAGAATGGTTTTAAAGGAAGAAGCAAAAAGGCATATTCTTGAAGGAGACAGAGTCCATGATCAGATCATATTCATTTCATTCATTAATTCTTGCCGCCGGAGACATTATTTGTTTCGGTGGGGTTCGTTTCGTAGTGATCCAATTCAACACCCTTCTCTTCTCTCTTTGTTAGTCAATTTTTTATTTTTATTTTTATAAATGTCATTAATTAAATGTTTGAGATAATGTGAATCTGCAAAGAGACAATGTATTTGACCATGCTTAAAACATCTAAAATATTGGATTAGGATATGAGAAAGTTTAAATGTCTATATCAACTATCTAAAATTTTATAAGTTCTCATTGAATCGAATAAGGATCAACACATTAGATTTAGACATTTATTATTTTCTCAATCTTGTTAAATTTTATGTATTGTTGGATTTGATTTGAGATGTAAGAGATTGTGAAGCTAACAACACTTTATTCTATAGGTTAAGATTAGAAAATGACCTTCTCAATCTCGTTGTCACTAGAGTTGATTGCTCTTCCATCTCAATCAACATACCATTCTTTCGTTCTTCTAGATATGTTCATATTCTTCGCTCTCTAAATTACTTTGGGAAGTTACTAGATATGGTTGTTGAGAGTGCGGCTCTGACTTTATGGAATTTTGATATAATTTCTTATTCTTCTGATGATTTTAGGTACGCTTGGATCCACATTTTTGCTCCCTTGTGGCATCATTACCGCTTTAATGCAAATTTTACTCTAATATGCTAAAATTTACTTCGTATTGGCTATGTTAGAACTCACTTTCTCGCAACTGAAAAGAGATCTTTGCTCTCTTTCACCGGAGCTTGTATAGTACTCATCTCTCTCTTAAAGAGGTTATAATCCTCTCAAATACTTCACTTGTGTTTAGTGGTATTGTTATATAGAGCATTGTCGTTAAAATTGATATACTTGGAGTAGAAGCGAGAATTGTTGTTCAACACGGACTGCGTTCAACGTTTGTTGATTGTTTGACTCTGGAGAAATTTGTTTCCTCCTCTTTGTGATCTTAGCAAGACTACGATTTTGAAGATGTTTGTATAATCGATTACCCTTGTTCAAATCTTACTTTGGTAGAACTCGAGAGTTCGCCTTTATCTCTAAGTCTCTTTTTGAGTTTTGTTATTTTTTTTTTAACTTATCCTCTTACTCGATCACCTTGTTGGTCGTTGTATTGGTTGATTTTGCTCATTGTATGTTTGTGATATCTTTCGTTGATGGAGGCTAAACTTCTATCCTTTAAATGAATGATAAGTTTTCTCGACAAACGATGGACCTATGCGAAAGAGTGTGATTTCCATAATCATGTCCCTTAGTTTGACATGTATTCCAATAACTTCTACCACTATCAATTGCTCTAGTTCTACATACATCCAAGTTCGCTTTGTAGCTTGTCAATTAAATTTATATAATGAACACAAGAAAATGCATCGAGTTCAGCATGAGTATACTGTGTATACATCAAACCTAATCGATATGAATGAGTAAAATATTTATATGTTTTGATAGAAGCGTTTTCTTTTATCATCGAGTTCAACATGAGTTAAATATTTATATATATATATATATATGCTTTGTATGATTGATATATATTTTCTTAAGATAGAGAATAGAATTGCAAAAATTGACTAGGAGGGTTTATTTGCACAAAAATTCATTGTCTTCTTTATTTTTTATTCCAGCTATATATATTATTTTTTCTTTATCATTTTTAATAACTGTTGACATGTAAAATGCATAAGTATGCAAATTTAGACATCTAATGACTATGATTGGATTAAATTTAGTAAATAATTTTTATGTTAAATAATTAAATTAGATAAAATATAAGTAATTTTTTAATCTATGTAATTTCTTAATCTATGTACAAATGTCGGAAACATCACTTAAAATGATTCAAATAGTGTATTAAAAAGCCTTAACTTCTACAATAACATGATTTAGTGCGATGTCAGTACAATTACAAAAAGAAATATTCATATTGCCTAAATATAAGTTAGTATAGAGAATGATGAGTTATTTTACCATGTAGAAAAGCCAAGAGATCAAGATAGAGAGAAGGCACCAAAAAAACACTTTGAAAAACATATGTTAGTTATTTCAACATCCAATCTCACCGATTTCATTCGTCAAATCGCTATTTAGTATGCATACTATTAAGATATATATTTTTCACCATACATCATGCTTATTATGGACTACGGTATTTATAGCTTATTCAATAGCTTGATCACACATTTATTTTCATCGAGTTAATTAGCATAATAATATTTAAATAAGATTTTGATTGATTGTAAAACCAAAATGTATAGGTATATTTGTTTTCTCTAACAACTGCGACAAAATAAATGAGTGAAGACCTCTTTAGCAATGACAGTAACTGAGTATTCTAAAATTAGTGAAAATATTGGACAATCAGCGGAACCTGAATAAATCAAAATACAAACATTGACTTCGTAGATTACTATCAATGAAGGTATAGTTATAACCAACTTATTTTCTAGCATAACATCATAACATCTGAAATATTCAAACCAGAAAGAGTAAATTAATTCAAACAAAATTTTTATCTAAAACACAAAAATCTAATAAACTATATATAATAAAAATATATTACTATTCAAATTAAACTCGATTTTTTTTATTTAAAATATCGTCATAAATATTTTTTGGAATAAAATTAAATAATTAATAGCAATTTTGAAAAGAAAAAAAAACAATTTGAAAGCATAAACTAATAGCATTCGTGGTAAAAAAAAATTGAATTTTGACAAAATTTGATCGGTAAGAACGAAAGAAAATAACAAAACAGGAGAAAGTGAGAAAGTGGCGCGTGCGTATTCACGCTCCTCATTATTGGCCGTCCGTCCATCTTACTATTTTTCCAATGCCTTGTTGAATTTTTTTTTCTCTGTTGTTTCCTTATGAATGAATCTTTCAATCCTAATTGATTTGAAAACTTTCTCATACAAACCTCAAATTCAGACATCGTCTCGCATTTGTCTTGTCAGAACTCTTAAGGTATGTTGTCCGAAAAACTTATGCTTCCATCTTTATTTCATGAATCTAAGACATATGATGAACATGAATTGAGTCTTTTGACTCTTTGTCTGAATCAGTTACATTTTCTCAAGAATCGGTTCTTACAATGTTGGGAGATGATAAAGAAGATTCAGAAGACCTTAATTTATTTCTAAACGCCATTAATGGTGGAGATGACGAAGAAGGTCTAACGAGAATCTCAACGTCTTTCAATGATATCGACTTCTTGAACTTTGACGATGAACAAGATTCATCACATCATAACCCATTTCAAGATTTTGATTCTTCAAGTCCAATCAACGAACCACCTCCTAGGGTTTATGTTGCACCTAGGGTGATGATAAGTCATCAAGATTCGTTTTCTGAAGATTCAAGAATCGGTGTAATCGAAGATGCTAGGATCTTGCCTGCTTCTCCTCGTTTACGAGTTCCTGCTTCTCCTCGAGCTTTCGTGTATCCGAGATCTGTTGAGTCTCCTCGTTTCGGGTCTCCCGTTGGTGTTATCGATACAGCTTCGCCTTTTGACTCGGTTAAAGATGCAGTTTCTAAGTTTGGTGGTATTACAGATTGGAAAGCTCATAAGATTCAGACAATAGAGGTTTTAAATTGAGCTTTTTGTTAGTTATTTACATGATTTTGTTTTGTATGAGAGAACTTGATTTTGACAGAAATGTGTGTTTCAGAGACGGAAGATGGTTGATGAAGAGCTTGAGAAAATACAAGAAGCTTTGCCTGAGTACAAGAGAGAAGCTGAGTTAGCTGAAGAAGCGAAACGCAATGCGTTGAAGGAGTTAGAGAACACAAAAGGATTCATTGAGGAGCTAAAGCTCGAGTTAGAGAAAGCGGAAAAGGAGGAGCAACAAGCGAAACAGGACTCAGAGCTCGCGCAGATGCGTGTTGAGGAGATGGAACAAGGTGTAGCTAATGAGGCAAGTATTGCTGTCAAAGCGCAGCTCGATGTGGCTAAAGCGAGGCAGGTCTCAGCTACTTCTGAGCTAAGTTCTGTGAGAGAAGAGATTGAAATGGTTAGTAATGAATATGAAGAAATGTTGAGGGAAAAGGATTTAGGTAAGGAGAGAGCTGATATTGCTGTTATGGAAGCTAAAGAGGTTGAGAGAACGATGGATGGTTTGAGTATAGAGCTGATTGCAACCAAGGAGTTGTTGGAATCAGTACACACAGCTCATCTCGAATCTGAAGAGATGAGATTTGGTGCAGCAATGGCTCGGGACCAAGATGTTTACAATTGGGAAAAGGAACTGAAGATGGTGGAAGATGATATCGAGAGGCTTAACCAAGAGTTTCGAGCAGCAGATGATGTGAAAGCTAAGCTAGAGACTGCTTATTCTCTTCAGCATGATCTGAAGGCAGAATTAGCGGATTTCACGGAAAACTCAAGCGGTAATATGTTGATGGACAAGGAGAGTAATAATGACATTCAGGCTGCGGTTGATTCTGCGAGGAGAGAGCTCGAAGAAGTAAAATCCAACATTGAAAAAGCAGCTTCTGAGGTGAAAACATTGAAGATAATTGCTGGATCATTACAGTCCGAGCTTGAAAGAGAGAGACAGGATCTAACAGAAACTAAGCAGAGAGAAAGTGCGGGTCTGGCCCTGAGAAACGATGAAGGCACAAGAGAGGAGTTGGTGGAAACAGCGACGAAGTTGGAGCTGGCGACAAAAGAGGCCGAGGATGCAAAGTCATTTGCTACAGCTGCGAAAGATGAGCTGAGAATGGCAATGGAATTATCTGAACAAGCGAAAAGAGGAATGTCTACGATAGAGAGTCGGTTAATTGAAGCAAAAAAGGAAATGGAAGCTGCTAGAGCTTCAGAGAAGTTGGCCTTGGCTGCTATAAAAGCTCTGCAAGAGACTGAATCTTCTCAGAGATCCGAGGAGATGAATGATTCACCAAGAAGCATCATAATCTCTGTAGAGGAGTACTACGAGCTAAGCAAGCAGGCACATGAGTCAGAGGAGGAGGCAAACACAAGGCTATCCGAGATTGTCTCCCAAATAGAGGTGGCTAAAGAGGAAGAGTCAAGAGTCTTGGAGAAACTAGAGGAAGTTAATAGAGAAATGAGCGTAAGAAAAGAAGAGCTTAAAGAGGCTATGGGAAAAGCCGACAAGGCTAGAGACGGGAAGTTGGATATGGAGCAAGAGTTGAGAAAATGGAGATCAGAAAATGGGAAGAGGAGGACAGACGAAAGCCGGGAACCTGAGAAAAGCCCGACAAGGTCAAGCACCGAGGGAAGAAATACGGAGAACGGATATGGACAATCGAAGTCGTTCGCATTTGGTGAACAAGGAAGCAGCAGCAACTACGTTGAAGCAGCTACTACTATTAATAATAATGTCACCCCTGAAACAAAGAAGAAGAAGAAGAAGCTTTCTTTGTTTCCAAAAGTTTTCATGTTCTTGTCAAGAAAGAAGTCTCACAGTCACAAGTGAAAAAATGTTGCATACCTTTTGATTTTTCCTCACAATATTTGGTTTTTGTTTTCTTCTTACACCAAAAACATAACAGAGACTCCTTGAGATGAGTCTTGCAGTTACTTTTTATGTATGATTTTGTTGTATTCACTCATAGGAAATAAATGTACTGATACACAGTTACCAACAGAGTGTAGAAGATCTCTAAAGAGACAGATTCATATTATTAAAAACATAATACCAATTTTATGTTCCAAAGATAAAGAGAATACAAAGATACTTGAAAGAACTTTATTCCTGACTAGTGCCTTTACCATAGCTTTGAAAAATTCCACCTCTCTACTATAGGCCAACCCCATTTGAAGACATTAAATTGAGCTTGAGTTTAGGGTTTGCTGCAATACCACTTCTTTTTGGTGTTCACAACTTTGAAGGCTTTGGGAAGATGTCCGGTGTGAACTTCTGCGCAGCACTAAGACTACCCTTGATCTTCATCGCACCCCTGCATCACCATTTGACATTCACAGGATTCAGTGGTCATCATCTTCTTGAACCAAATCAAATTCACACAAAAACTTGTAATGGTGGATATTGTGGTTCGGACAAAAGAGTAACTGCTAAAACAAACTTGTAATGACATAATTAAACCAAAATCTTAGTCACACAAAAGCTTGTAATGGAAGCTTGAGATTGTTGTCAGTAATGGTAGATTTTGAGGTTCAGACACAGGAAAAAACTACAAACAGATACTTGTGTAATGGAGTTATGAACAGAGCTTATGAGATATAGAGGAATGAAACAAACCTAATGAAAGCAATCTGAGGATTCATCTTCCCAGTAGCCACTTTGACAAAATCATCATCTTTGAAGGAAAACGTAGCATCCACTTTCCCTCCTTCATATTTCCCTGTTTTCAAGATCAACCATAAACAAAAAAAGTCAATTACTTTTACCTTTTGTCTATAAATCAAAATTTCAGATTCTCACTATTCAATTGCCAAAGACAACAAGAAAAGCTATAACCTTTACTGTTAATCATATTTCAAGATTCACTTGTTTGAATTCCAAATTCCTAATTACTTCTCACTTTTTTCTAAAATCAAATGATCAGATTCTGTTTTCTGAATTCCCCATTCCCATAATCAACAAGAAAAAGCTAACCTTTGGTGTAAAGAGAAATCTAAACATTCTCTTTTATAACATATTTCCCTAATTTTCAAAGATCAACCATAAACGAAAAGTCGAAAAATCAATTACTTCTCAGTTATCAGTTCTGCCTAAAAGCAAATTTGAATATCCTCTTCATTTGAATTCCCAATTGCCATAACCAACAAGAAATAGCTAACCTTACTGTAAACTCATATCTCAAGATTCTCTTTTCTGAATTCCCAATTACCTCTTACTTTTGTCTAAATTCAAATTATCAAAGTCTCTTATCTGAATTCCCAATTTTACCATAATCTCAACAAAAACCTAACCTTTGGTGTAAAAATCAAATCTTTAGATTCACTTTTCCCTATTACTCATAATCAACAAAAAAAACCTAACCTTTAGTGTAAGATCATATTTTCAAGATTGTCTTTTTTGTATTCCCAATCACCATAATTCCCAATTACTTCTCACTTTCAAGTAAAACCAAATGATCAAAGTCTCTAATCTGAATTCCCAATTCTACCATAATCTCAACAAAAAAGCTAAACTTTCGTGTAAAAATCAAAGCTTTAGACTCCCAATAACTCATAATCAACAAGAAAAAGCTAACCTTTGGTGTAAAAATCAAATCTCTAAACTCACTTTTATAATTCAACAAGAAAGAGCTAACCTTTAGTGACTTCGCCTTTCTTCAGATCGACGATGTAAGTAACCTCTTCAAATCCCAATTTCTGAAAATTCCCAAATCAACACAAAAACAAAACAGAGAACAACGAAACAGGTCTCTGAAACAAAAAGGACCAACCTTTGGAGCAACGTTGATCTGATAAACAAGTCCGATCTTCTCCGTCAGCTCTTTACCAGCGTCGGAGGAGAGATGTTCCTTCATCATGTCCATGATTGCGTCGGATTTGAGTTGGGTTTTCGCCATTTTTTTTGTTGGAGAGCAGTGGAATGAAATCTGAAGAAGGTGAAAAAGTTTGGATTTTTAAGGATGGAGTTTGGGAGTGAGAGACAAAGGAGATGACGTGATCGATAAGTATGGAAAGATTGAGATTTTTTGGTTAGAGAATGGCACGCTTCCCTATTCGCTTGTTCGCACCCCTCTCTCTCTCTCACTCTATTTCATTTTATTATTTTCTATTTTGGGAGATTTAGCATATTAAATTGTTTTGATCATATATAGTAATATCTGATCAATTAATAACCGTTATAAATTAATAAATTTTGATGTTGAGTCAGAAAAAAATTTAGATATATATCGATAAAAATATTGGAGAGCAATAAAAATATATTTTTATCATATCTAAAAATTTTCTCAAAAAAAAAAAAACAATATTTTTTAAATTTTTTTTATATAATTATATTAGTTCTAATAATACCTATAACTTAATATTTATATAAAATTATCAATATATATCTATTTTATTAGTATGCTGTTGACAAAAAGAAAACAAAATCTCTATTTTACTATTATATGTAAGTAATTTAATGAAATATTACTTTGTGTTGTTATTTATTCTTAAAATTTTAGTTAATTATTTTTAGAGTTCAGTTCTAATAGTTGTCATGTATTAATTTTTTTTAGTATTTTATTTCAATACACGATAATTATTGTTTTCTTGTAATTATTTCTAAGATATATATATTTACTAAATTAGGAAAATCTCTTTTAATTAATAATTATTAATTTATCGTTAAAAAATATTTCTGTAATTTAATAGTTTTTCACGGTATGACATTATTAATTTATAGAAGTTTTACTGAAAATGGTTTTATTTTTGTTCAAAACTAAGTACATATTTTTCTGCGATCAAATAAACCATAAAATAATATTTTCAAAATGTTGTGAAAAATGTTTTTGAGAAATATTGTTAAACTTTAGTGATTCTTGGAATTTTTTTAAATAGTTATTTGGTGTGATTTGTTGGATCATTAACGTCTAAAGTGGATTCAAATGCCATCAACACAGGGGAGATGGGAGAAAGAGAAAGGGTTTGGTGTTAAAGATTTCAAGGAAGCTAGACTAAAACATGCACCAAACATTCATAAATAACATGTATTTTTAAAACTTTTTGATGGTTCTCTGCTCTCGCATACAAGTCAAAATACATATAGCTGATCACACGACTAGGTGTTTTATTGGATTATCCGCCACCACCTGAAAACGCTATATTTAACCGCGTTTGCAATCACGTTAACATTTATAAATACGCATTATACCGCATCAGACCGTTTTAAATCGTTGAATTTCAAAAATACCCAAACTATTCGATTTAACAAAAAAAAGAAAACCAAAAATATCTATACAAAACCAACAAAAGGGATGGTTTAACCACTTGATTCCAAACCGAACCAAGAACCATAGGTGATGTTTTGTATAGTTTCGGGTTTTACCCCAATCGAACCAAACTGTACCCAGATAATCCGATCTAACCAAAAAAACAGAAATTATCTATACAAAACCAAAAGACATGGTAAAACCACTTGATGTTTTGTATTAGTTTCGGGTTTTACTCCAACCAAACCAAACTGTTCGGATTTTATGTGGTACCCAAAACCAAACCGAATTCAAAGTTTTGGTTCAATTCTTAGGTTCCGGTTAATATGCCTATGCCTAAATTGTGGAACATTAAAAAATTATGGAACTTGAAATTATATACTCTATATATAAGTATATATGGAGGTAACAACCACTAAACCATCAAAAACTAATTTGAGGTCGTTCTAATGTTTTACAATACAAATGAATCCACTCACATGAGCAAATATATATTTATAGTTAGGGATATAATGATGAAAGACACTTTGTAACTAAGGATAGTAGTAAATTTGACTTATATAAGTTATGCAAGTATATACATTACAAAAATCTACTCATAAAAAAGCTTCACCATCTGACTTCTCAAGAAACAGACTTCAAATTTATGTCATGTTCCAGAAGTTTATTGAGTGGAACAACCTAAAATGCCAAACAAACAATTCAGATCAATAACTCATCCAATGTAATATGATCAAGACTAGTAGTGGAAGGAGAAGTTACCTGATCGGTACTCGTCACTGTCTTCATCTTCTTCGAGCTCCCATTTTCGCCTTTCGCTCCTTCGTTTACAAAGTTCTGATCAGATACCTCTGCTTTAAAACATCACAAGAAACAAAATTTAGAATAGAAACAACATTATTGAACAATAGAGGAACTAACCCTATTATGATAGATTAATACCTTCTCCAACACTGATTTGGTCGTGATCACGCGAATGAGAGCAAATCTGTTTAAGACTAGATGCTGAACTAGAGCTGCATACAACCATTCCCTTCTTCCCATTACTAACCACTTGATTCTCCATCTCAGAACCCGAAACTTGCGTCTTTACTAAAGGCTTATAATGTTTGATCCATGGACTCCTAAGAAACTCATGAGAACCACCACCTTGTCTACCATTAATCCGATGCTCAGGTTGTTTCACATTAATCTTCTGCCAGAAACCATCATGAAGAACCTTGAACTAAAAATTTCAAAACATACTTCAATGATCTATTATCGAAACAAAACAAAACAAATGTCTTTAACTCATACTCATACATACCTGTTCTTGAGACGGTTTTGTACCGGATACATTCTCCTTCTTCCCTAGAGCACCAAGGGAACTATATAACTGATCTACGAACGAAGTTTCCATCGATTTAAGATATAAACTATGCTTCTCATTCGTCCACTCTGTTTCCATATACTCTTTCCCCGCAGAGTACTGCAACAAAAAAAATTACAAATTCATCACAAATTTTTCATCATCACAGTATCACAAAACTACACAATTCATGATTCTCTTAAAAAAAAAAAAAAAAAACTAATCTATCATTATCTAATCTAACAAAAATCTCATCGGAAACGTAACATCGCCGTGAAAATTCAGATCTGAAGAGAGAACACGACGGAGAAAATTCCGATTCCGGCGAAGAGAAAACACATGCAATAATGATATGATGATTTAGATATTTATGTATTGAAAGAGATGAATACCATGGAAGAAGTGGTCTCTCCCTCCACGGAAGAAGAATCGTCGTCGGAGGAATCGTGAGAGACGACGGAGCAACGACGGCTATTACTAAAGCGTACTCTGTAATCACCAACCATTGGCTTATCTTTGTGGAGAGAGAGAGAGAGAGATGAGAATGAAGAAGAAAGAAAAATATCAAAGAGAGATAACAGAAGAAATCAAAAAATCACAAAAAAGAAATCAAAAGAAACGAATACAGTTGTAGACGCTTTTACACGTGGGTAAAGGTGCCACGTCATCACCGGTCAATTTGGAAGAATGAAGCTTTTTTTTTTTTTTTTTTTTTGAGATATTTCAAACACTAAAAAATATCAAAGATATTTTTCATCATCTGCAAAATATCTTCGCACCGTCTCTCTGATTATTATTCCCTTTTAGCTTCTGACTTTTTTTATTTTTTTTGGTAGTTTAATTTTTGTCCAATGAGAAGTAGACAACTCATTTTCTAGAATTATAAATAGATTTTTTTTTATGACTATATTTTAGAGATCTCGCTTTTTGGTATTAGTGTAGTTGTATACTACGTTACATGGAAACTTTTTTCGAACTGCGTTTCCCGTTTCCAAAACGTTTCAGAAACAGAAACTCTTGGAAACTCGGAAACTATACATGGAAACACGATTCCTAAAAATTTCTATTTGGAAACTCGATGAAAACTTTCGTTTCCGTTTTTAGATTAAAATAATATAAAATATAAGATATATATTGTGATTAAAAAAAAGGTTATATTTATCTCTAATAAAAAAAGATGTAAAATAAATAAATCATGGTCCTAAAAATGATATAGAAGCTGATATAGAAGCTGTTTTATTTGATAAAAATGATAATGGTGATGTTAGTCCAAACATTTGAATTTGAGCGTTTTAGTATTATCTTTTAGAGTTTTGTTTAACTATTTAGTATTTATGTTTTCAAAAGTTCTTTTTTTTTTAATATGGATTTTATATTTGGTATTTTAGTATATATATATATATATAATTATGTATATAATTATATATATACGTTTCCAAAACGTTTCCATTCCTTAATTTTCAAAAATTCCCGTTTCCCGTTTCCGAAACGTTTCATTTCCGCATATGCGTTTCCGTTTCCATGCAACCTAGGTTGTATATATGATCACATGGAGTGAAGAGATAAACGATGATTAAGAAAATAGCATGGCTAATACATGTGTCTTTTTTTGACGGTATTTTAGATAATACAGTATTTTTTAGTCCGTTTATCTACAGTATTTAGGCATTTAAAATTATACAAATATTAACAATTGCTTAAGATTTACCCAAATACATGTAAAATTATATAAGGAGGAACGTCAAAATTACCCATTTTCAAATACCACTTTTTAAAATTTTTAAAATTTATCAAAAAATTATTTAAAAAGTTGAAATTTGTCCAAATATTTATGTAAAGTTATAAATATACACACAAATTACATTTATAAATATCAAAATTTTATATATTTCATAAATACCGTATAAATATCGTATAGATGCTTTATAAAAAGTCTTTTAAAAACAGTTTAAAAACTTTTTCTTTTTTTTCAACCACACATTAATTAAAATAATACTCCATGATTAGTAGCTTAACCAGGAGGGAAATCGTTTACAAAAAATAACTTCCGAATCAAGTGATCTGGAAGAACAAGCAAGACACTCTAATTTTGAATTACAAGAACGCGAAATCTTAGTTAAAGAAAATGAGGGAAATGACGCATGTAACATAAGGAAATCATCTAAAAGGTTGGAGAAAGCTGGCCACTCTTGATGGTCTTGCATCATTGCGATAACCTCGGCACAATCTCATTCAAAATTATGACAATCAATCATTTTTAAAAGAATACACTCCGTAGCCCATATTAGTGCTTCCAATTCTGAGTGAAGTGGTATCGGACATCATTTAAGACACTTAGCACCTAGTAGATACGTCTGCTCTTTTGAAACCTTTTAAAAACTTTGTAAAACTTGTAAAAACGATTTAAAACCTTTTAAAACATTAAAAATTGTTTGGATTGAATCTCCTAATAGTAGTTATTATCTCTAAAAGTACATTATAAAGCATATAAAACTTTATAATTTTTTATATTTAAATAGGGGTATTTTTAAAAATCGATAGATAAAAAATGTTTTTTTCAAAACGAGTATTTCTTAAAAGCTCTATTAAACAATCATTTTTCCCCCACACAATAATATAAATGATTTTTGGATAAAACAAGTTCAGAAAAATTCGATTTATTTAATATTTATTAAAAAGAATATAGTATAAATTTGTTTGTCCTCTGTAAAATAAATAAACTTTGTTGTTATTGGAAAGATACAAATAATAATTATTTTTTGAGAAAATCGATCTATTTTTACATTTGAATTTCTACCTTTGCAGTAACGACTGTTATAATAAATTTAATTTTTTATTTCATGAAATATTTTTTCGGGCATGAAATAAAAAACTAAGAATAAAATGTTTAGTTTATTTAATATTTGCCAAAAAGTACGTAAACTTTTTCCATTGCAGAAAAATACAAAGTAAAGTTGAAAAGTGGTATTCTTGATATTCCTTTGAAAACATTACAAAGTAAAGTTCTATAATTTTAATAATAGGATTTTAAATAAAAAGTGGTATTCGAAAAGTGGTATTTTTGAAATTCATTTGAAAACATTACAAAGTAAAGTTGTATAATTTTAATAATAGGATTTTAAATATTAAATATATAATATTAATAGATATAAAATTAAAATAAAATTGTTCCGTGGTTCATTGTAGGTCCTAGTTTTATATTATGCAGAATATTTTTTATTGGTTAAAACACGTTTAGATAGATATTAAATGATGTTTTTAAATTTCAATCCAAAATCTTGAGTAAAATTTATGTGGTGTGAAAGAAGAAAAATACTTTATTAATATAAAAGTGGATTTTTTCAAGCTTTGGTTTATTCATGGGCTCATATTTTATTATGTTTTATATAATATAAACAAGTCTAATATGCTTCCTATTGTGTACAATGTTTGAAGCCAAATGACAAAATCGTATTGAGAATGTGTATATATGGTTTTATCAGGGTGATTTCTAATATTTAGTTTAAGGGGGGTGTATTGAACTTCATATTTTAGAAGATTTGTGGGATTTTAATATTTTAAGATTTTGAGATATTTGAAGTGTAACTTTAGGAGATTTGGGTTATTTGTTAGAGATTTAAAAAGAATAACTTGTGATTTGGTGAGATTTTGTTATTGAATTTTAGGTGATTTTAGGATATTTTATATTTTTAACTTGTGAGGAACTTGTAGTTCAATGTCATGACTTGTATGATGTGGGGAGCGACTGTTGAAGGAGACGAGAGAACAAGCAAGTAGATTCTTTGAAGAAGACATATCAAGTGACATTCCATATTCCAGTTTTGATTCTACTTCTTGGGACAAAAAGAACTAGAGAACGCCTGGTAAAATGTATTGGTAAATGCAAAAAATTTAGCTAAAGAACTTCACTGCGTGGTAATAACTTGAGAGCCATTTTTGACCATTGGAATGATACAAAAGCTTTGAATACAGCAAGTATAGATTAAACAAAGGAGAGCGAGAGGGAAACTAAACAAATCGAAGTCACTGGCAAATACAAACATTTGAAAAGGCCATCATCAATCTTTCTTATCATTGGAATCTGAATCGCTTGCATTATAACCTGACATTAGTTAGGAAAACCCACAATTAAAACACACAACTCACAAAACTAAATTCAACAAAAGATGCAAACAAAGTCAATGCTTTATATTACCTGGAGGCTTAGCACTCACTTGCCAAGCTGTTGATCGAGTTCTTGAAGCTTTGCTAATCCAAGCACGACCCTTTAAGGATCAATATCAAAGACAGATACAATTCTAAATCAGAAACACACTTTACACCTTCAAACCAGAGCTAACCACATACATTTCAAGAGCCTTAATTCAAAACAACACCTTCTAACCACAGCATTCAATGCACATACAGAGACGCAAAAAAAAAAAACAAATCTTTGAAGAAAACAAGCTGAACCCAGAAAGATTAGAGCAAAACTGAATAAGAAAATCCATGAAAAAGAGTGAACCTTTTGTTCATCTTTGGAGATTCCATAGCCGCTGCAATACATCTGACCGACCAAGACCTGCATACCAACGTCACCGGATTTGGCTTCCTTGAGCGTATCCTGGAACCAACGTCTCACGCAATCCTCGACGACCTGAGCAAGAGGAATCCGATTAATAGGATCCGAAGCCGAAGCCGGAGCGGGATTCGAATTCGAACCCGAGTGCGATCCCGCCTTCTCCAGCTTAACAAGATTGGGGAAATCGAGGTGGGAGGTGTCTCTCGTCTTCTTGACGAAGACTTTGTTCCGTGGAGGAGGAGTGGGTCTCTGTGGGGGTCTGTTTGGATTCTCTGAAGAGAGTCTAATGGCGAATTCTGCGAATCATACAAAAAATCTCAAGACCCTAATTTCTGATATATCCAACACCGAAAACTACTCATAATTTTTCTATTGTTCTCGATATTTGATTTTCAGGGATTGGTTAAGGAGATGAAAGGCTATGTGAAGAAACTTGATCTCTTGTTCGACTGTGTTATGGAGAGAGTCAGTCAAAATAGTGGGAAAGAAGTGCGAAGAAGATTGTTTATAATACTTGCTTAGAGTTATGTGAAGTCTCTCCTCATGGGTATGGTTTTTGTTGGTGTCGGTTAACGTATATGAATTTGCCATGGCAGAGATCGTAACCAGATCAGAAGTGTTAAACAAGAACCGCCATGTCCGTGTTCACGTATGTATTTGAGATTGAGAGAGATAACGTAGAGAAAGAGAGAAAGTATAAGGAGAAGAGACAAGTTGCAGAGATAGGAGTACTTACCATCAGTCTTCTTTTTTTTTAATTGGTTTCATACGTTATTTTTCAAATCCTTCAAAGTTTCATCTATAAAGGTGTGATTTGTGAGTCATATTTTTGAACTAAAAATGTTAGAAAAGTCTCCTAGAATCACATTCATTAGTTTTTAAAAGAAAACTTGTGGTATTTTGAATAACACTATATTTGAAATGAAATTTATAAATTATTGATTGAATAACAAGAGATTGTGAATGATTTTAAATGATTTTATATAAATTTCATGTTCAATAACATAGGATTTCAGAAGATTTTTAAAAATCACTA